CACCGTCATCTAAACACGGATTTTTAGTTTGAAGAGACTATCCTATTTCGATGTTCGACAACGAGTGCCTTCGCTGCATTCTACGATGCCGCCGGATCGATCGTGTGCCCGTGGCCACTCTACGTCGACGCCTGAGTCTCCGTCCTCTTCCACCCGTCCTGTTCTAGCGTCGTCTCCGATGGTTCGGGCACGCAGCTCGACGCCCGGAGGGAGAGCTCGTACGCGATGTACTTCTCCTCCTTCTCTTCCTGGCTGGCGAAAATTCGTGTTGGTGGGCAGCTGAGGACGTGGGTCTAGCGCAATCAAGGATGACCTAGCAGTACTATCAAAGTCCACAAGTAGTTGGTCTTCGACGATGGAATCGGATTGGCTTTCCATTTCGTGTGATCTGGCTCAGGATCGGCGAGCGTGGACAGCGATGGTCCGTGATGCTGTACTTGCTCGGGAGGAAGCCGGTTCAACCCGACCAGGGTGAAAACCGATACAAGTCAAGATCCCACATTCTGTGTCACAGAATAAGAGCAATATCATATAGCAGTTAAGCACTGTTTCTTACAAATTTTTCCTGTTTATACTTTGTTTAGCTTTTTGGAAGGCATCTTTAGTTATCCCAATACGGGTTTGGATTTTGACGAGACATTTTGCATTCTGTTAAAATACTTTCTAGATCTTTAGATTTTCGTATATGCTTGATGTTGGTGTTTCCAATTCTTTGTTCGCATTTTGGGCTGTTTCTCTTACTGACAACCATACTGCTATGGTAGTATAGCAGGAATAAATTTGTTACAGCTGCAAAATTTCCCCCAAGCAAGTATTTGTAGATAATTATATAAAATTTGACGCATGGCCAAAAAAAAAAAAAAATGGAGAAAGATGGTTGCCACTATCATAACTAACTTATCTAATCGCATTCACTGGCCCAATCACAGCTAAATGTTCCTAGTCCCATAATGCCACATTTATACGAACACAATCATCAATACGACGAATGTTCTCCATGAAATTCTAGATTAATATCCCATGTTTACAATAATATTTACAGAAGAGTTAGGGATGAAACATTTTATTTAAACAACCTCGTGATTTGAATGAAAATTATATACAAAGAAAATGTGCTATGGGATTGATTGATTTGTTTTTTACGGTTTATCAACCCTTTTCAGGTTATTTAAAGTCAGAAAATATTTTTAGATTGTAAGAATTTTTGAGAGGTAATGATGATTTACTGGTACAAGTTATACTAATTAACCCATAGCTGAATGGGGACAAAGTTGGTTTATAGCTTTCCCAAAGGTATTTGCGCGTAAGTGAATATAACGGAACTGGAATTGGAACTCGGCTCTCTGATTTCCAATTGAGCCTGATTCTTTCTGTTTAGCAAGGAGTACAGCTTAGCTTTAGCTATGACTACCTTATCACTCACTATCTGCGGATTTTAACATCGCCATCTATACTAGTGCCTTTTGCGCCGCTAGTCTGTCTAGGTTGAGTCGTTTATTATAATCGGCAACAAGATAACTAATGATATCCTTAAGGTGACTCTACCACAGCATGTCAGCTCCCACTGTTTTGTTCGTATCAGCCAATAGCAAAAACCCTTTACGTTCAACAAGGACGTCCTGAATTTCCAGTAACCAGCCGTTCTGGGTTTAGCCTTATCTAAGTTTATCCAGATCCGGACAGGCCTTTGGTTCACATAAACTACACTCTTTAAATTTGGTTAACCAAAAGTCCTAAGTCGAATGACTAAAATCCGATCAATTAGATAGAAGTTTGTATTGTATCTGGGTAGACCTTATCTAAGTCCATTCTACTCGCTTCGGATGTTTATTTCAAAATTTGTCAACCAGAGAATTTGGCGATAAATTAAGGAAAATGTTTTGTTTTTTGTGTTTTTTTATAAGTCAGAAGGAATGTTGGTGCCTACCGAAATCCCCTACGATATAAACCTGTATCAATGATGATCTTCCAATCACACGCAAAAGTACCTGTTTCGACGAGGCCACGAACTGATAGATCCGACGAAAATGGTTTCTCGCTCCCTACGGTTAAGTGCATAAACAATGAGATGAAAGGCTTTTTACTTTATGGTAACATCCAGTATGCACAATCTGCCTACCAGATCTGTGAGGACAAGCGAACTGGTTGCATCCAAAGAAAGACTTACTAGCCAAAAACCCTATCGAGCAGCAATCAAAGAATGCTGATAAGAGGTTGAGGTTTATCTTTACGTCATTTAATAGTTTATAGTCGCTTGCAATAAATAAAGGTTCTTGAATGGAAATTACTCAAAAGACTTAAAATGATTTTTGGTATTGGACAGAGTGAAATGGACAGTAAAATGTTTTTACTTGAGTGGGGAAGATTTGGGATAGGAAGGGGCAAAGAGTGAGACAGGAGAGATCGTTTCAGTTGCTGGGGTATTTGCAATTTACTCACTTCCTTTGGGGAAGACAGCTCTTTTCTGGCCTGTCTTTGCAGTCCTTTTCTTAAAAAAAAAAACATCAGTTTTCCACATTATATATATAAATAGGATGTTTTTCTTATATACGTCGGCGGTCAACAAAATGCTGTGGAGTCTCATTCACATCATAGCAAGAAAAATTAGCTTCGTTTTCACGGAGATAAAAGTATACTTGACAGAAAATAAAACGTACACAAATAACAAGAAAAGCACGGTAAATTGTATGTTAATTTCATAGAATTTATTTATATTTTTATGTGTACTGGTGTGTGTATTTTTTAGGTTACAATTGTTTTATGGTACATGTGATAAAAGGGAGAATTTACTCCGTAGTATTACAAGCCATATCACAGAGAGAAATTGAGCATGTGTTGCCCGTACCAAGGTTCGTGGCGAAGAGATTGAATTTAACGTCTTTTGGCGGGATGTCCGTATTTTCAATATTTTTCGACATGACATTTAGATTTTCATTGAGGATACCTATGTCTTTCTTTATGCATTTGTATTCCTCGTTTTGATATCATTCTGATAATAAATATTGCATTTCTTGTTCCGGTGTCTGTAACCAACGAAACTACAATGTTCCTGTCCTTGTATTATTTCCGGTCTATGTGCTCTAAATGCATCAGAATCCGGTTGATGAGCTTATGGTTCATTAAGCTAATTGTCCGATGGAGATAGCATTCGTGTTAGTTTATTTTATATGCTCCCCTCTTTGGATGGAACTACTTAAAATATTTTCCAAAAAAAGGTCATTGTTTGGTTTAATCAATAATGTTGATTATGATGAGGATTGTAAGAAGCACTTCCGGTACCACTAGGAGCAAAACGGATCCAGCGGTAGTTTGAATTTAAGTTGTTGAGGGGTTTTTTAACAGTTTTTATAACGTCTCATGTCGATTCAACTTTCCACCATTAACTCAGAAGCTAAGTGGAATAGTAAAGTAGTATTCCTAACTGAAAAACCTTCGTTTTTTTTTTTTTTTTGTCCTTTCTCCTCACTTCCCTTTTCTTTCATTCCCAATTATAAAGTAACCTTTTTTTGCGTCTTAGTCGGATTATCGCCTCGTTTGGGGTGAAATGATTATTTAAAAATTAAGAAAAAAAATGTCACCAATATCCTTCATGTTTTGACTTTTTGATTTTTTCACTTAACAAATTTTGTCAGTGATGCCGAAATTGACCAAGTGGGTGTGGAGTACAATGATAAAAAAAGCAAAACTAAAAAAATGTAAGCCCAAATTAAACTAACAAAAAATAAAAATACAGTGAAAAAAAAAACTGAAAAGTAACTAAAAGGCTGAATTATTGAAATAATGTTCGATATGCAATTATTATCATCACTGAATTACGGGTACTGACAAAGAGTGGGATTATGTAGAAAAATAAATCATAATAACAAACTCATATTTATAATTTATTACATTTTAAAATAGACAGGACAAGGACTTTTAGTTTTACAGTTTACTTTTAGTACGCGATTGTGATTTTATTTTTATTTTTTTAATTTGTCTACGAACTTTTACTTTTTAAAATTAAAAAGTATAAGTTTGTAGAAAATTAAGCTTTAGATTGAATGAATACAAAAATCTTATGCAGGAATATCGTTTTTAAATCAAGTAAGTAAATGTAACATGAAATACAAATCATTGAAAAAGTAGAAAAAAAAATGTCGCTATTATTAGCAGTAAACAAACTAAAAACCCAAAAAAACAGTGACGTTCATTTTTCACATTTCCGGCTTCCGCACGATTTCATTATCAACAAGTGTTTTTGTTTATAATACCTCAATAATAATAATAAAGACAATAAAATTAATTTAATTCTGGTCATTATTTATTGATGAGCTTTTATTTTCTTTGTGGAACATTTTATTTAGAAGGGCAATTATCAAGACCAGTGGAACTTAGCTTTCGTTAACACTAACAGACATGTCACGTGATCAAAGTTTGTCAAAATCACACTCGTCCTGTGTGTTAGTCGACAATGGATGGGGATATTTATTTCAATTTAGTCTTAACTCTTAAAGTTAAAATCTCCAAATAATTAATATATTTTATTAATTATTCTTTAAATGATGGCAGTGATGGCAAGTCGTGTTATTCGACCTCAGAGAAGAAATAAAGTCCGACTTCGCCCAAATTTATACGATGGATATGCGATTTATTGTGATCAGGACCGCTCAAAGATAATTAATTTGTTAATAGTACTTAATCGTCTGGGTTTACGAATTCATTGCAAAGATGATATTGTCTGTGGCGAACGAATGTTTGAGGCTACTGTCGACAAAGGTATTTTAGTCTCGAAATGCTGTCTCTTGTTTGTGTCAACCAATTTCAAATGTGACCCTTTTTGTAAGTACTTTACCCGTATAGCCCTTTTGCAATACGTGGTTACTGACAGAAAATACAGGATTATTACAATATGTCTTGACCACACAAAAATACCATGTCTTGGAATATTTAAAGAGATATCGATAAAAAACTTCACATGTGGAACTATACCAGAAATTATCCTTAACGAGAGACTTTTATGCATGATTTACAAAGCCATAAAAGGTAAGTAACACTAAAAAACAGTAACACAGAAAAAAGCCACAAGTCAAGTGTGATCTGTTTTTCTTAATTGTCAGATATTTTTTCTCATTATCTTTATTTTTTATTGTCGTGTTCGTTCAAGAAAAAGTGAGAAAAATATAGAAAAAATAAAAGTACTAGATTTGTTAGTGGTTGAATGTAATGACAATTTACTTAATAAATCTTAGAAACTAAAATAAAAAAGCAAATACCTGTGTAACGAACCTATTTCACTCTAATTTTAATTTTTGCTACAATCATTTACAATCCGTTACAATAATTTGCAGTACACATTTTAAAATAAATGTTTTAAGTTTAATATTCTTCAGTTTTCATTACTTGCTACTTACAGACTGTTTTTTTTTTTATTTCAACTGATTTAAATCGCTAAATAAATAACATTTTAAAAAATTCGTATGACAAAAAAACTATTGAAAAACTGAGCAAACTGAAAACATTCTGTTTTTTTTTTTTTATAGAAAAGGAGAATTAAATTAATTTTCGTTTATTTTCATTGACATAGAAAAAGAAACTTTTATTTTAAATTAAATTTTCTTTCAATATTTGTCTTTTTTTTAAGTCTCTGCTTGCGTTAAGGTTAAAAAAAACTGTTTCAAAGCATTTCAGTGAAAGATATATTTTTAAAACATTTTCATAAATATGGGAAAGTTTGGATTTAAATTTATCTAAAGTTTTGCATTGAACAAATAAAGTTTTCCGAGCACTTGAGTACATAATGTTTTGTTTTTTTTTTTATTATTTATTCAAGAACTTTTTTGTACCGAAGAAAATTTCTGGAGTTTTACTAGACTGAGGGTATTGTTTGTTTTTTTTTGGGGGGGGGAGATAATTTTTTATTTTTCTGTATTTAGTAGTCAATTAAGTTTTTTTTTTTTCATGTTTTTAAACTAAAAAGTGTTAGGATATTTGCCAGGGACATAAAAAATGATCGTAGACATCGGATTTAAAAAAGAAAACAAATAAAAACTAACAAAGAAACTTTTTTTGTTGGCCAATAGACATTTATTAATCAGGATCGTAATCTGTTTTGTTTTTTTTTTTCTTTCTTTAAAAAGCCCTCCAAATTACGAATTTTATTTATTTTATATTTTTTTTAGTACTTTTTTACATTTTAAGAAATCACATCAAATAAGCATATTTGCTTTGGTTTCTCTAGGCTAGAAGGGCGATAAGCCCCCACATCCAACCTAGTATTATTAACTTTTAATTTATTTATTTATTATTTTTTTTTGTTTTTGTAATAATTAGAATCGAGGCCATAATTCGGATGCCCAAAAATGGAAGTAATTTTGTTAATACTCTAAAAATGGCTCTTTGTAGGAATTTAAAGAAATTCTGAAGAATAATTACTTTGTAGAATTTGTTGATCCTGATCGATTGAGTTGTGAAGCATTCATGCAAAGACGTATTGAACAAGGTTCTACAATAATCATCAGTGATGGTTCATCAGCTTATAATGGGCTAAAAATAACATAAAAATGATCTGGGTGTACAATCACAAAGTTTTGAAAATAATTTTTTTGTTGATTTATTTTACTTACACTACTACACAGAATGAATCTTTCAATGATGGCTAGCTTCATCTAAAAAGCATTTTCTCAAAGAAAAAAGGAATCGACAAGCATCCGAACGAATGGGAATATGTAATTTGAAAATATTCAATATTATTCAAAACAGTAAAATACTAAAAACGATTGTATATATAAATTTTAACTTGCGAATTACTGCCCCCGATTCTAGACTTCTATTTTATTAGTAATTTGTAGTGCTCGCTCTATTAATAATTTTTAAAAAATGATTATTTCTTGTCGCAAAATGCCTATTGTACAATTTCACTGAAACTTTCTAAAAAGAAATGATATTCCAGATTAATACTAAAGGAGAAATCGTTTCTTTTTTTTTTTTTGTTGTCGTCCCTCTCACGTAGAATAAGTGTTTATTTTTTTTTTTTTTTTACATATCGTCATTTTTTACTTTTAATTTATTTATCACTAATAATGTGATTGATTATTATTTCCTATTGATTGTGATTTTTTTTTCTGTGACAAATAACCTACCACTAAAACAGTATTACCGCAAAAACTTGTCTTGAATTAATTTAATTTCTCATTTTAATTATTAAAAAAAACATAAATCGCACTTCAATTTAACTGAAAAATTAATATTCAACACTGAACAGAAAGATATATCTTTGTTTTTAAAGCAAGGAAATTTACAATGCAATTTAAATTATTTTGATAGTAGATTTCCTTAAAATGGTAAAATAAAATTTTGAAAGAAAAAAAGGTAATTTTTCATTTTAACACCCGAGCGCTAATATCCCTTCAAATTTTTCCCAAATAGTCTTATTTCCGTGCAAATGTATATGCTGAACTCAAATCAGCAATTAGATATTGAAGAAACCTACCTTTTTGGATGTTAACGACCCGAAAAAAATCGGACTTTTTCCTGGTCTTTCGTCGGCCATTAGCGGTTTATTGATGTAATTCAGTGCTGAATTCTGTCGGTGGACGTATACAATTTGGGCCTATTTACTCCCTTCACAATAATCCCTTGTAGTTAACTTTCAAATTAGAGTTAGGTGGGTTTTTTTGTAGGGGGGTTATTCTTTTTCTTTTTTTTTTTTTTTTTTTTTTTTTAAGAAGAAAGTTAACTTTCAAATTAGGGTTAGGTGTTTTTTTTTCTTTTGTTATTCTTTTATTTGTCGATGTTTACATATATTTGAAAGTTAACTTTATTCTTAAATTAAGTACAAAAAAAATCGCTTTACGGAAACGCGTACTAATTTCTGAAAGAAAATAGTTCAGCACTAGCAGTAAATGAATGCTCGGGTGTTAAAATGAAAATTTACCGAAAAATATACTCAAACATCCAAAAACATTTTTGAGATGCTAAAAATGAAGTATTGAAAATAAAATTATCTTCTATTCTGTTCAAATAAATAAAAAAATAAAAAAAACTTTCGACATCAAATTGAATTACTTTCAAACTAAAAATAAAAACATCACCTCCTATTTAGATCGTTTTATCCATAAATTAAAAAATTAAATAAATAAAAAAAAAATGCAATTCGTGTATCATTCTGAAGTTAGATAACTAAAAAAACATACTTTAAAAATAAAATTAGTAAAAAAACTGTAACGCTTAAAAAGCGTATGAAATAAAATTAAAACTTAATCACACTCACAGGTTACCGTACGTAAAATAAACGTTATTTTCTTTTGTTTTAAGCAAAAAAGAATAAACATTTCATTACATTTTATAAAAAATAAAATCCAATTAATTTAAATTCATTCTTCGTTTAAATTACCTACTTTGAAACACATTTTTAGGACAAATATTGGATTTTAAAGATTTTTAAATTTCTGTAAGTGGGTGTCTTGTTTTATAAAAAAGAATTTGATGATAAACTCCAAGGACTTGGTCTTATAACTAAAAAGAAAAACATTAAGTTCTACAAAAATGAATTTCTTAATTTCATAAAATTTAAATAAGTGGCAAGTAACAGATGTGAAAAAATAAAAAAACTTTCAAAAATAATTCCATTCATTTGCGAATAAGTTCTGAAAGATTTTGGTCTTTCCTAGACTTCTTAACTATTTTGGGAATTGCATAAAACTTCATTTTTATGAAGTTTGTGACATTTTTATTCATCATATATGCTAATTTTTTAGAAAATCTTTGTAGGTAGCTATGTAATAAGTTTTAAGATTAAATTTAATATTTCCAATAACAAAATACTTTGTTTGCTGTATTTCAAACTGAATTTAAATTGATTGGATTTTTTTTAAATCACTGAAATCAACCATATTGACAAAAATGTATAAGTATATTTAATATTTGAAAGATTTTTTTTCTGTCAATATAACTCTGTGGCGGACTTCACCACATTTATTTAACTTAGATTAGGAAGAAAAAGATAAAAAGAGGATAAGCCAAAGACATCATTTATTGGTGCATGGTTTCAACTGTCGTGAATTTTTGTGGCAACTGAGATCTCACTGGTTTACTAAGAATTTTCTTTGCTTATGTAGGTGATCATTGGCTCCAAAAGCACAGCACGGGAAGAATCACTCTTCACGTGCAGACAATCTGATTGGTTGGCATTGACCAATCAGCAAGTGAGCTTTGGGGAGATTCATGAAAAGCTTCTGGGATCCGATTCTCCCAAAAGTGCACAAAATCGGCTACATGAAAATAGTGATTATAAAATTCTCGCATTATACAGTAGTGTTGATTTCCTATCCAATGAATGCTTGTGGTTGTAAAATTTGAATTTGCATAAGTATGTATGTATGTGTGCGTGATGATGATCATCACAATACCCCCCCCCTTAAGATTAAAGAAATTATAACAAAATTCTTTAATATGTCACGTAGGAGTGATACTTAGAAGGCTTTACCGATTTGGCCACGAAGGAGCGTTCAGCTATCAAGGTCGAATATTTTCTGTGAAAATTTCTCGGATATCCAGGCCGGTAAATGTTGTTTAATACTGTTTATTATAAACAGAGCCTTTCCTTAAATTTTTATATATGTATAAAAAATGTATAAACATACAAATGTCTTTTCACCCCACGCAAGACCGGAATGACACTAGCACGCAGGGGGTTACAGAGGATTGAGAACAAGAGTAAAGATGCGTATTTGAGGAAAGGATACAGAGAAGGAAGAGAAACAAGATCGATTTTGGTAAACAGTGGTTTTAATTGCGAAGTGGACTGCTGACTTTGGTTTAACGATGATGATGATGCTGGTTTCTGCAGAATGTTGGGTTACTGTCAATCCGGATGGAGCTGGTTGCTCAAGATATGTCGGCTTCAGTTAACAGAAATGGTCGACTGGCTGTTGTATATCTAAATGGTAAAATACTTTGGTTGTCATGAAAGTACTTTAAAAGGTCCTGAGTAATTAGCGTTTTTTTTTTTTTTCTTTTACTCTGTCTTGTCTAACGAAGACATA